CCTAGATGAGTTTTTATACTCAAATCCAGCAGCATTAGGCAGCGTGTCTTTCAACAGACGCTGGCATGACACTAAACCGCACTCTGCAGGAAGCATCCTTTCTAATCATTCTCCTTCTCTGCCAGCATGTCCAAAATTAACCTTCTGCAAAATATAATTCAAGGGCATGAGTCCTCACACTCTATTACACATGCAATTCGGTGCATGACACCAGTAACAATAAGTCAAAAGCTGGCACACAGTGATATGGGCAGACATTTCACTTTCTTACATTCTCAAATACACCCAAATACGAAAACAAACTAAATACAACATAAAAACAAGAAAACAACCTATTCTTTCACTGAAGGATTTCTTAACAATAAAAAATGTATCATGACTGAACTGATTTCTCTGAACTCCATGAAAACCCAGGTACAGCTCTTTATCAATGAACCCTTTAATTACAGCTTCATCTAACATTTCCCTGCACAACATTTACTCAGATTAAAAACAAAACAATAACAAAGACCGACAGTTCCTTAAGAAACCAATCAATAGTCTAGAGAGGAGTTATTAGAGGGCGCGCTCAGCAGTTTAGCCACGGTTGCACATTAAGATTCTCTGGACTCTCCAGCAGGAAGCAATGCGCCTTACAGGAGAGTAAAGCAACACAGATAAACAATCAGATGTAAGAGGAATTTGAACATATTAGGAGAGGAAAAGTTTGCTGTAATGCTATGCAAATGTCTTGGGCCATTCCTCTTTTTTTATATGTTGCTTCTAGGGAACACTGTGCACACTTAAATATCTGTAGTTTAGAGGAAGACATCTTAAGGATTTCTAACTTTTGAAAATTTCCAAATCAACTAATTTGACACGAATAAAGAATATTGTAGGACAAACAAACCGATTTCCAAAGTTTTATAAATTAAAAACATGATTTTTAATTGAGTCCTTTGGGTTTGGATCTTAGGATAAATCAATTTTATACAATATAAATATTATTTTATAAAAAAAAGTCCTTCTGAAAAAAATTGATAAGGTACTAGGGTAAAGCACCCCTAAGAACAACATTTATATTGTATTTTAGTTATGTAAAGGGAGCTGAGATTCAGAAGAAAGGTCTTTACTTATTAAAAATTCTGTTGGCAGCAGCAAAAAAGGCCATCACATGCAAATGTTCCCAAAAAGAATCCCCTACAGTCAAAAAGTGGATGGACATCATAGAAGAAATTCACAGCATGGAAATACTCACTTTTATAATAAGGTTGCAACAAGCAAAATATTAAGATCTTTGGAAAAAATGGACAATGTATATTAATGATTACTGACCAATTGTTCTTTGTAAATTGTTCTCTTTTATATTATTTGTTCCTTTTAAATATAATAAAATACAAGTTAAAAAAAAGTCCTCCTGCACTTGGTTCTGTAACTTCAAGGAATACACAGAACAAAAAGATCAAGTTTCCATGAAGAGTTAAATATTTTTGTCTCTGTGTAAATACTTCACATAAATCACTTAGAGAGAACTTTTTATTTGTCTAAAAGGTTGAAGCATGTCTAATGTTCAGCACTGATATGTCTAAGTTAAGGTGCTAGAAACCACAAATAATACACAGGAAAACAAAAGATTCCAGCACACTTGTATCTGTGCAAGAAGTGAAATCTTATGTAGATACTGTACAAGTTTGAGCATTTGTCAGTTGTCTGAAAAGAAAAGGTAAATATCACAATCGAAAGGAGCCCCTGCACAAAATTGATTCAAAAGTGCACGATTTTCAGTGCTGGCATTTTGTGTTAAAAGTAAAGTTTTACATGAGTGTTAGTTCCTCCAAAGGGCCGGAGTTAATTGATGGAGTTAAATTCAAACAACTCTGTTAAACACTGATTTAAATATCAATACTTAACAGAGTTTCTATTGTCTACCATAATGCATGCATTGACAACACTGGCAAACATCAGAGCTGTTGCATGGGATGCAGAAGTTGATCCTGCAACTGCAGGTGGCCAGTTAGAATTAGAACAGACGGCATTATGAATCCTGTGTACAGCAGCCTTGCTTCTGTTAGTGGTACCTCAGAGCAGCTTAAACTAGTAGCTTAACCTAGTTTGTAGTGTCAAATTTACCATTACCTTTAACACTTTACACTAGTGCCAAATAAATTCAACCATAAAAGTATTAAATTACCTCTAATAAGAGTGTTGTTCCAACTCCAGTCACAGTGTTGACTGTTGTAACTTAATCTAGTGTGGAAAAATATATTCCACCTTAAAAGTGTTTCATTTAACCTTTTAGAATTGAATCATCACTTCTAAATTAGCTGTGAACAGGATGCGTCATACTGCAGCTGTGGAGCCCACCTTCTTCTTTTGTAAATGTAATTTGTCTCATTTTGGGACAAATAAAGTGATTGATCTGTTTTATCTTCCATTTGGATTCCTTGTTTCCCTGAAATTCCAGACAAAGCGTTCTTTATTCAAATATACTTTTCTTCATGTCCTTTTTCATTTTTGTGTTGATTTTTAAAAAAATGTTATTCTTTAATTCTACTAATAGTTTAATTGGGAATTCATTAATGTGTTGTACTTGTAAAAACCTACATAAAAAAGTACCTACTTATAGTAGGTACCTACTTATATAGTGACAGATCATTTAAACTCCGCACCTAATCCTTTTCTCTCAAAAGATGTCCAATGTATTGAAAATATGTAGATCATAGTAACACTGTGCACAATATCATAAATTGTGAGATTTTTAATCTAGTGTTTTGACTTAATATGGCAGTTCAGTGAGATGGCTGGAATCTCTCTGCAGTCCAGGTCCATTAAGCTAATTATGTTTTATTGTTTATGATATTTGCACACAGACTGATATTTTCACGCCTGTACTCCTGTTAATTAATATGATTTTTAATTTACAACAGATAAATAATGCCATTATTTAAAATTAGAATATTATATTGAACAACTTAAAACAGTTGGACCTAATAAAAAAAATGTGGACCTAATTAAAAAACATGTTTAAAACCTGCTAAAGGTTGTTTTTATTGTTGTTTTTTTTACATAGAGGATAGTGCATATGATGGTATAGGTCATAGAAGTCGTTTGTTAGAAGCCTTGAAAAACCAGATCATCTGTTGGATATAGAGTTTAAGGTCTGACATTTCTTTATTCCTCTACCTGACCACATTGCTCATTTTATGCATAGGTTGTACTGTTAGGGCCATGGACAAGAAATGGAAATAAAATGAAAAATAAATCAGCCAGAGTCATAAATAAACAAAGACCCACAGAAAACCAGATGGACCATTGACTGAAAACACTAAAATATTACAAGAAAGTCTGACTTTATGGAAGCAAAGTAAGGAAATATCATAGATTTACCTGCCCTACATTCTAATACCTGTTGTATGTTTTGAATGACTGAGATGGTCAAACTTGAGGAGAGTGATAGGTGGCTAAGTGTGGTAGAGTGTGGTAGAGAGAGAAAAGAATCAATAACAACTGATAATTATAAATAATATTGTTATCTTAATATCCACCAGTAGCATCCATTTACAATAACATGGGAAAACTCAAGAATATGGTCTATGGTGGGTCTGCAATTTTTGGATGTGCTACCAAAAGAAGATATACAATGGATGGTCTGTTAAACAAACTATGTTTTTTTTTTCAAACAGACAGGTCCTGTAGAAGTAAAAAAAATGTTTTAATGTAAGAAAAACAGCAGCTTTACTGATAATGAACATATTAACCTTCTTAATCTGTTACATCCCCTCCACTGCAGAACTCTGACACCGCTGCTCTGCCTTCCCTTTCTAATAATGTGTCACTTTAAGATTATTTGACATGGTACTTTTGTTGTACCCTGAGGAAGTAAGACTTTTTCTTAGTTGGTTAAAGAAATAACAAAGAGGGCATAGCGTTATGAAGACTTTTTTTATGGCAGCTATTCAACTCTAAAAAGTAATTACAGAATCTGTATCTTAGTGACAATGTGCTTTTGTACTGTATCATTTATACAAACTGTATTTCCCATCTATTCATTGCATGAAAAATTGTGGCTCAAGTAAACACAAATATTCTCTGACTTCTGGTTTTAAATGTTGGGGCTCTGAGGTTGATTATTACCTCTAAACTTTACCCTCTCATGTCGTGCTCTATTTAACAGGACAGCTCCAATATTAAATTACAGTATGCTGTGCGTAGTACTTCAAGTTGCTGCTTGATTTGCGAGGCAACGCATTGACAAGAAAGGGTGGAATGACTGTGGGTTATAATCTGGTACTTGGGTTCACTCGCAGATAATTCTGAACAGCTTTCAGTAGCAATCTGATCTCTAGAATTAAAACAACAGTTTTTGCCTATGGTCTAATTAAGTGTGTACAACGTTTTACATTTTAATTAATTTATCAAATCCTATTCTTAAATCTGCAGTCCCTTTTAAACAAAAAACAGCTGCATGGATCATATGTAATATGAATTTGATTGATTTTAGAGTTTAACACTGTACGACATATTTCACTAAGTTGAGTTATGGCCATAACAGCATCCATCTGTCAGAGTTAGAAATTTGTATAGCCTTTGAAAGCCATGGGGCAATCCTTCCTGGCTACTTTTGGTCAGTTCAGATTAGCTTCACTATAGAAAATGTGGTTAGGTACAATTTTCTCAAATGGGGGCTGATATACAGGGGCAAGCACTGAGCGAAAATTAATTTATGTTTCACAATGAAGAAAAAAACAGGTTTCCTGAGGCTCCTTTAGGTTAAACCGAATATAATATGTTTACAATTGCTTTCTCATTTAAAGATGAAGCTTCACTGATACATGACATTCCCTCTTCTGCTTAAGAAAGCCTTAAATATGGCATTAAATCCAAAAAAGAGGACACTTGTGACATTACTGTGTCATTTCTTTGAACATAAAAGAAAACAAAGCAATTAAGTGAATAAATAAAATGCAGCTATTAGACTCTGCATTTGTTAAAACAAGGGTTGGAGGTCAGCACTTACTTACCCCACACTTGCTGAGAGCGATGTACCACCACCTCTCCCTCACTGATCGGAAACTGCGACCACCCACGCAGCTCAGAACCTCCTCGTCGCCATCGTCCTCCACCTGGGAGAAGGAAAGAAATCAGATGGTGATCCGAAGAGGATCTTGTTATTCCAAACAGGGTGACACATTTCCGCCTCACGGGCACGTTGACTTGTCTCAGTAAAAGCCGAAGATTTCGAGATACAAGCACATTTCACACTCTGTTGGGACAAGATCCACAAAAGGCAGTCACACCTCTAATGTAATAAACAGCCAGGTTGCTGCATAATATAATAATAATAATTTAAAAAAAATTATGAGGCACAAAGCTCTATTGAGATCAACAATGCATATGTAAATCAGATAAATGTTATGAAAACACATTATGGACCATTAACTCTCACCTCCTTTCCATCTTCATCTCAGTTTATTATTTTCCTTTTTAACATGTTATTGTGTTGTTTTACATTTTGAAGAAGATTGAATAGAAAAGGTGAAAATGTGTCAAACTGTCTCCAAATAAAAAGATCAAAGGTCAATTATATTTATAAAACAAAGAAAAACTCTATTTTCCGTTACATTCATTTCCAGCAGCATACAATTAGAGTGTTATATTCTTACCACACATCCTGACCAGGTGTAGCGTGTGGTGAGATTGATGACCTGGTTGTTTTCAGGTCTCAGCACTGCTTCCTTCTCATAGCAGTTCTGTTATCAAAGCAAACAGAAAACAAAACATTGTTATCCATGCACACAGAAAACAAAACATTGTTCTCCATCTATCTTCATTGTTATTACGTTGCAATTCAATGAGGAAAGCAGACAACAAAAATGTTATTTTCCTTGAATTGTTATTTATTGTGACATCAAATATTTTCATATTATAATTGGGACTCAAGTGCAGTCCAACCAGAAGGTTAGGAGGATTAATCATAAGGGGAATTAACTTTGTGTCTGAAGGATTGCTGGGATGATGGACAGTTGATACAACAGTAATCAATGAGAAAAGTCATAATTTATTTCAGATATTCTCCAATTCAGACTGAATTCAAATGACGCATGCAGGCTCTAACGTTTGCATACAACCCAACCAATACTTAGCAAGCTGCTAAAAAATTACATGTTTATTTAGCACCAACAAACTCCTGACAAAATAATGTCTAGAACTGTATCCAAAAAACTATTAACCACTGACAGTTCATTTAGATTGGTTTGCTTCCTGCTACCAAAACATATTTTAAACTCAGGCTTTAAATTTTCTGTTTATTTCAGTAGCATCAACTCAGGACATTCATTTGCTTTGTTTATTCCAAACACAATCATGATGTGTGCCAACGGTTATTTTCCTGGTAAAACATGGAACGGTAAAGTTTTAACTCAAGACCTACACCTTTATTATTTCACACACTTGTACCATCCATCATTGACGCTACACTAGGAATAAAACATAACTTCAGCAGGATGCTACACCAAATTGACACTTGGAACTGTTGTATTTGTTTTGAAAACCTTAAAATTGAGTTTCTGGGAAATAGCATGCTCAGTTATTTATTGCTTGTCTATGAACATCTTCGGTAAATTTCCATTTATCTGAAGGTAATAGTTTGAGTCAGGCGGGCAAAAAAAATACATAGTACTAGACAACTCAAAACTGGTTTTTGTTTTTTTATAAATAAAAGAAGGCTAATAAGCTTTTGAAATGTTCCTGTCCTCATTTCTGGTGTTGTTTTCCCAGTGGTTGTCATGAAACCAACCATTATATATTAAAGTCACCAATTCTGCCAAGAGAGGTGAAAATTACCTAGCAAGAGTGATAGTGGAAATCCACAAAACAAAAAAAATAAAGTTGTATATCCAAAATAGGTTTAGAAAATCATACATTTTTTGCTATATTATTCAAACCACCAAAATACAAAAAGATAATTAAATCATCAACAGTCGAAGACCTATAAAACATCAATGCCAGAATTGTATAAATTTAGTAATTTAATAGACAAGAGAAAAACGTGGTTAAGTCTTCTGAAAAAAAAAAAAAAAAAAAAAAACACATTTTCACACAAGTTTGCCTTTGAGTGATAAATGTGTTTTTATGTGAAATCTTAACATTTCTGCAAACTGTTCGGGTGAGTTACAAAAACCCGTGTTTGATCTTGCAAATCTGTGACCGGAATCTGACAGAGAGCTGAGAAGTGATGTGATCCCTGTAAGTGCACTAGAAATATCTAACGCACTGTCACATCTGTGTGTCAGAAGAGGTAAGGCAGGCGATTACAGCACAAACATTCAGCACAAGTTGCCAAATGAAAGCTATGCACGTCAATATCATTTCTTTTTTTCTTAACATGATAATTCATTTCAGCATAGGTTTTTCTTAACATCTGAAGTTCAAATAGAATTTTGCATGAACAGAAAACGAAGCACACATTAAAATTTGGGTGTGAAGAGGGTATTAGTGTCTAGATATTATAAAGAATTAAATCATTAGTCACTGGAGTAAAGGTCTTGATTAAACCACATTTTATGATGCTCTATAGTAAAGGCATGGAAACATTATAAATGAAGCATCCCTCTCCTTCTGAAGGCAAAGTTTTAAACTTCAGATCTTAAACAGGCATTAAATTAAACCTCTAAGGCCATGCAATAACAATGTAAGATTGTTACTAATTTTGGTGTTGCAGAGCTTTTGAATGAAATAAGAACCATTGTATTAGCTTCTTTTATTTAAAGCATCCAGCTTGGGCTGTTTAAAGATAAGGTTAATTGATGGTAGCATTAGGAAATGAATACGTACTACAATTGGAAGTAAATGTATGAGAAACTAATGAGTTTTTTTCTCCCAAGAGCTTATTGGCCAACACTTTAAATTAGGACAAGAAACTCATTCGGGTTGAATCATCACCAGGAATAACATTTTTCTTCCTAAAAATGAATCATGCTGCCTTGTGGACATATGTTTAGTAAGCTAGGGTGAAGGCAAACTAAAAAAATAACAGAGATTATATTTTTATGTTTCACAAACAACTCTCTGTCTTCCTAAAATGGCTGAACGGGGCAACAGCAGAAAGATTAAAGGGGTCAATACTAACCATGGCCTTATTTACTCTAAGGAAATGATGCACTTTTCTTTTATAATAACATGTGCAGCTATTCGTTCAATATGTTTTTATAACCATTTCTGCTAAAAGAATAATATGTGTAATGTGGGAAACTGAATTTCAGAACAGAAATGTTCCAATCATGAAGTTGTTTTCTAATCCAGGAATGAGACTTTGTGGTGTTTTGAGGGAATCTTGATCAATCTCCCACAAAGGGGCCTTTACCAATAGTTCTTAGTCAAATTTGATTGAGCCTGATTTTTCACAGGCTGGCTGTGCTGTCAGTGCACCAGACCATGTCTGAGAATTAAATAAGATGATTAGAGCAGACAAGCTGATCATCAACAACATCTGTTTATTTGAAAAGATAATAAATAAATTTAGCAAATCTGACAAAGAACCTATGAGTTGTATTCTCTGAGTAGACAGTCTACTGTATTGCTTTTTTCACCTAAGAGCTCTTTAAGGATTACCAGGAGGCTGGAGTCTATATTAGGCATTTCAAACAGCTGTTGGTAATTTCACACTTCCACAACTTTGCTCGTTTCACATCAGACTTTTTAGGTATGAAAAGGAGCCATCTGCCATGAGGGATAGTACTGACCATGTTGTGTTATACCTGCATTTGATAAGAGTTTAAAGAACTTTTCTGAAAGATACTTGCAGTTTTCTATAAGACCATGTGTTTAAATAACTTCAAACGGTAACGTATATTAGGAGAAGGTCACTACTTGACTTGGACTACTTGGATGATTAAATGAGTCATTTCAGGTTGAACAAAGGTATTCTCGGCCGCCCTGGTGGTCTGTGGGGGAAATACCGCACTTGCAATTCCAGGAGCACCGACCCGCACCCACAGGCTCAGAAGTCTCGCGAGAGTCGGTCTTGCTTTACGGCGAGAACTGCTACACCCCCGAGTTAAAAGCATGCTCGTTGCTAGCACAGTGGCGATTTTTGTGCAGTGCTGCTTTCACACCGGACGCAGCAAAAGCAGCAAAATCGCATCTGCTGCTTCATTTTTGCTGCTTGTACCAGTTAGTTCTGACGCGCGGCTGAAGCAACTTTGCTGCTCTGGCTGCGCGGTGCAAAAGTGTGTCTGACGCGCGTTGGGCGGAGCTTCACTATCCTTTCTCTGCCTTGCAGCTATATTTGCTGGGATCAGTGGGAATAAAGTAGTTTTAATATGTTTTTAAGTGAGAAAATACACTTGAAAACTTCATCAGTGCAGTCAGTTCATCCAGATTATCATCCTGCCTTACAATATTTTTTCTGTCGGAGCCGCTCAGACCCCCACATACCAGCGGTGCGCCGACAGTAGGAATCCCTTCATCAGCAGCCTCTGGCCGGGTCGCCTCCTCGCGGTTCACCGCGGCAGTTGGTAGGTGTTTTTCATCTAAATAATCCAAACTGCAGGCAGCAGGATAATAAAAGCGAACATATTCTGCCGGCAGATTTCTGCATTTTAAGTTAATTTAGGCGTTAATAAACTGTTTAAGAGGAGCGATCATAGCGCTCTGATCATCAGTGCTGTGTCTCTCTCCCTGCCAGCTCCCAGATCAGCTTCTCTGATTGGTTGACACGACGCGTCGAGCAGCAAAAATAAAAATTTTCCATCTCGAGCAGCAGCGCGTTTGCGGCACGTCACGCGCATCAGATGCTTAGTCATTCGTTGCGTTCGCCTGTCTGCTAAGCTCAAAACAACCGCGCCTGGCTTGACGGAGAAACCAGGAGAACAGCTGTGCATATTTACGACAGTGCACTTTTACTTTCGCCCTCTGGGGGGAGCCTGGCTGGAAAAATCAACACCGGTTGCATAGTGTACCTTAAATATAAACTAACACCTTCTCAAACGTGACTCATCACCACAATTAGGGGATTTTTAATCTTAATTCTTAATCAATATAATTAACCACCAGGAAACATAACATGGAATTACATATTTAAATATATGGGTACCACATTTAAAAAAGTCTGAGATCAATTGGCTGCAGGTTATTCTAATCTAGGTATGTTTAAAACTCGTTATTTGTATTCTCTAAAGAGCTAAATAAAGATGAACAAGCTGCATCTTTATGTTAGCGCAGACATTTCTGGACTTAGTCAAAGAGAAAATAAAACAAATTTAAATTAAGTCTAAATAAATAATTCTCATCACTATTTGACAACAAAACATAAATAAATAAGGAAGGATCATTTGGTTGTTTAAATGCATGCTAAGGAAGATTTTTCCGCCATGGAGGAGAATCGTGGAAACTTTAAGATTGTTGACTAAACTTCTGTTAGAAATTGACTCATTATTTCTTCGAGCTGGATGAAAAAGATGTACTCCTAAAGTCTAAGTTAAATTTTGAAAATTTTTGGCACAACTTCATTTCAATATAACATGAATAATCAAATTCTGCCTTTTATTCCAGCCTCTAGTCTATCAGAAAGTCAAAGCCTCACCTTTTCTGTCTTCTTGTACACAGCTGGCCACTGAGAGCTGTCATCAAAGTAGAGCAGAATGTTCTGACAGCAGCGCGACTGCAAAGAGGGGAGACACAAACAGAAAGAGATCACACTGGGGTGGTACATCCATCAGAGTGGACTCAGTGAGTTGATTTGACATGATTTGGTATGAAACTGGTTCTACAGGCTGCAAGCTAAAACATGCTCAGCATTGATAAAAAGTGGCTATTAAACTGGCTCCTTCATTAAAAGGAAAACAAAGGCGATAAAAAAAACTAGCAGTAGATTGTAAATTAGGGAGATGGGGAAGTGGAAGAGGGTGTGAAGATGGTTCAACAATATGGTCATATCAATTAATATAATGAAGCGAGATATAATAAAAGAGAAAGGGGAAAGCTAATTGAGAGGAAGATGCTTCAGAATGAGAAAATGAGGCAAAGACAATTGTACTTGTTTGCTAGATGGTGTGGTAAACTGAGCTGTTGGCAGAGAACATATAACATTACAGCACGATTCAAAGAGAAGAAAATCAACTAACAAATAAAGGTAAAAAAAAGATTAGTTACAAAACATATATGTTAGAATTAATATAAAACACGAAAAACCTGTTTCATTTGGTATACTGTAAATATAGTTAAAGGCACATTTTGCAACCATGTTGCATCAGCTCATGATTTAATACCACTGAGAGCTTTTGACAACCAAAAGAAGCCTTGGCTATAATTAAAAAATATATATTTTAAATGCTTCAATTATTCAGCAGTTCGAATCATTGTAAGTTTTGGAACATTTGTGAGGCATCATGGAAAAAGAGGGAACAATTTGGCACAGCACAAACAGGAAAAAAAACACAAATTTCAGGGAAGAGAAAAATCATTTTCATTTTAATGTAAAATGTGCAAGTTGAAGATATGAATCCATGCTTTAAGTTTAATTTCAGAGGTTTAAAAATGCTAAACGTTTGTGTTTAAACTCAGCAGAAGCAACAGCCAACAGGTGTTCCACCACAATCTGTGGCCTCAGGCTGGACAATAATTCAATATTAATATATATACTGTGATATAATCTTTTGCAATAACAGTGATATAACTTTTAAAAGCATTTCAGGTATTTCAATATACATTAAAGTCTATGATTGCAGTGTTTTCAACACACTGGCAATGTTCTCCACAGACATGGAGCCTGTGTCTGCATCTGCAGGCTGTGCTCCATTGTGGGCTAACCTCCTACAGCGTACATTTTTAGCAGAACAATTAGTGGCCACCATAAGACGAGGAAACATCCCAGTTTTGGACTACCTGTACTTTGCAAAATCTGTCCCAGCAAATGTCTCCAATTTTAGCATTTGATGATATCACATTGACTACGTACTATTTAGCTCATAAGCAGCAGGTAGCCACGCAGGTTAAAGCAGAAGAGCGGAGCACTGCGGCTTTCAATAAAAGAAGAGAGCTTGTCGTCTCCAGGTCTGGAAGTCATCCTGTGATATTGTAAGATGTGTGAAATGATTCATTATGTTTTAACGGAGTTTACCTCTAAAGGTTATCTAAAGGATAAAGTTTAGATTTGCGCTGAGAAGCATTAACCGTGTTGTCAATGTTTGCTGTGCCAAGTTTTTTTTTAATAAAGAAAAACAAGCCAAACTTTCATTGTGAAACAGAAAGATATAGGTCAAGACGAGAACAGAGGGAGCTGTCGCAAGAGTGAGAGAAAGGCTGAGAAATCTTTACAGCAAGATTTGAAAAAGAAAAACTTAGATGTTTTAGAATTGACTGAGGACCTTTAGTTTGCATTTTCAGAGCTAGACATTATGAGTTATTTTGTTACTTTCATGTCTTAATTTGTGAACATAGTCCTCCAATTTTAGGTCTGTTTGTATTCTTGATTATATGAAAGTGAATCACAAAAAAATAAAGGAAGCACTGACAGAGAACCTGTGAAAGAGGCAAGAACCTTTGGACTGTTATATGAAGAGGAAGAGAATCCTCAGGTTATACGTACCCATTCAATCTGTTGAGTTTGTAGCTCTAAATAAAAAGAATTAGATGAGTTTTTTTTTTTTTTTTCAAATATATCTAAAATGTTGTATTGGAAAAGTTTTATAGTTGAGGGCATTCCTGGTAGTCTTTTTCAATGTTTATATGCTAATATAACAGCACCCCTTTGAGTCACAACATATGATGGGATGCTGAATGTACTTTGACACCGGTATTTGCATGTTGAGCCCACAGTTTTTGTGAGGTGGCAATAAGTGGCTTGTGTGAATAAAGCACATGGCTACTTAATTCTTACAGCACTGGGCTGTGGACGTACATGTTTACCATGCCGAACCACAAGGAGATGAAGCAGAAGAAATTGATGATAGCGACTGCATAACTTTGTTTCTAGCTGACCTTAACCCAAGATGAGGATGATGAATAACACTTTGGATTGGATGGGAAGAGCTAGAAAATACCTGAAGGTATTGCCATCACAGCATCCTTCCAATGTTGAGATGGCAATAGGGAAGAAATTGAGAAGATGCATCATCCTCACTGCAAATACTATGTTATGAGAGGAGAATTCACATGGGAAGAAGTCCAGTAGCTGAAAACTTTCTCCAGAGCTCATGAACAATGTACAGATTGATTTCTTAACAGACAGGGCGTGGAAGGCCATGAGAATAATCTGACATCTTGAAGCAAACCGGCATACAGTAGAAACTTCAGCCATTATCCACCAAGAAGACAGGTGAAACTATTTAAATAGAGGCAAGCCTGCAGATATAATTAAAACATTTTCCCATTGGATAAGTTTGAAAACGTATGCTAAAAAAATAATCCACCTGTCATTCTAACTTCATATCAAGTAATTTACTATCGGCTGATAAAAAGCCAATGTGTTTATTTTTTTGAACTTCAATAATTTTTTTTTGGAAGGGAAGCTAAGACTGATAAATAATAAGAGCCACAATACAGGGTATTATTTTTTATCTTTTGATTAAATCTTTAATTTCTTTGTTCCGTTTCATTAAAATAAACAAGAGTTACTTTATCATTTCACTACTTCATTATGATGTATAATGGTGACAAGCATAGGAATTCTTTGTTCTAGATTTCATTTTGGGCTTGTTTTTCATTTGAGAACGAATAAATTACTAGTAAGGCCATTTTTCTATATTCATTTTGAGGTCATTGATGTGTGCTTAATCATAATTCATCTTAATACAGCAAGACTTAAACTGGCAATATGGTTTTGACGCTCGCCACACAGCTGGTATACATTTGAAGCACTGCCATTTTAAAATGAGCAGAATTTGCACAGTGTAATATAACTTTATTTAAGTTACACTGAGATAAGAAGTGATACGATAGATGTCCCTGATTAATCTGTGAACTGCAAAACTATGTGCATGGAATACATAAAAAATTTGTATAGTAATATCAATTTAGTTAACATTTTCCAATGTAAACCATAAGCAGGCAGAAATGTTTCTTTTGTTTACAGATCAAGTAACTGCAGTGCCAGCATTTTGTAGATTAACACCTAATCTCTGATTATTAGTTCATCAAACCCCAAACTGCTGTGTTATTGTATTACCTATTGAATAATTGATTTCTGGGACCAAGAAGCTATTGATTTCTTTGTATTTTAAAATGGCTCATAAAACACTTAATTTTAAACATTCCTTTGCAAGAGCCATTGAAAGAGCAGAAATAAACAGAATGTTAAAAGCTGTTTAATAAATGTGCATAAGTGATAGAGTGCTGTAAATTTATAGAAAAATGGTGTTCAAATTTAATGATTAATACTGCCGCTATTAGTTGGCATAGTCAACATAATCGACAATGAAAATTCGTCGACAGATATTTTTTTCCATCTATGACTATTTTTTTGTCAGCCTTTTTATCGCCTACTTATTTTGGTTTAAGCAAACGGCTCATCTGAGCTCAGGTAATTCCTCTCCCATGCACTAGTTGTGCTTTGCCCACACCACTGGCAAATTGGCTCCATTTTCCTCTACTGTCACAAGCTTCCGTTTCTGTTGGTTCTGCTTTTGAGGGTGATACAAAAATGGCAACAGCTGGGTCTGAATCAATGATGGAGCTGGTTTTAGAGTGGTGTGCAAACTCTGTAAGTCTTTGTTGGCTTTTCGGGGGAGCACAACCGCGATGCACAAGCACCTTAAAATTACTGACTGTCTGTGGATGTAAGACAGCACCCCTCGACTATTTGGTAATGTTTTGTTAAGCGTTAAACAACGCTGTGCAGACGCATTTATAGTAATTTTTGTGCCTTTGAGACGGCACCTGACTCGAGGCAGAGGGTTTATTGAATAAGCACACGCAGACACTGTACGAATGTGACTTTTTTTAAATTGGCATCACTATCCCACGGCTACTCTGCCAACCACCAGTAGTGCTACAAGACATATTTTAGGTTTTGGCCATTGAGTTGCAAAGGTCAACATAATAATAGGTTCAAAATAAAAAAATAAAAAACTCAAATGAAATTCCATTCCTTTGATTTTTTTTGGAGAAGAGTTGTTAAGATTAGTCGACTAATCAAAAATTTTGTCAAAAGATTAGTTGTTTAGTGGCAGCTCTATTAACGATGGTCAGTTTGTATTTGACTGTCTTTAACTTCAGTCAACCAAAAGTTTGTGAATCTCTTGGTTGGCCAAGGATGTTGTGGGAGGTGTTGGAGAAGGTATGCAGCAAGCTATACAAAGTAATTCAAATTTACTGATTTTGTTACAGCCTAGCAGGCTTCTAGTGTAGATGTAACAAATCTTCCAAGGCTGATTTCTCCTCAATTTGCGCTATGTACATTTCTCCTTTAATTGTATGATGACAACATTTATTAGATCATTTTTAGGCAATAGTGGCCTTTATTCTTGTTATTTTCTCTTATCATTTTTATTTCCACGTTTGACGTCATTGGAAAGCTAAGACTCCAGTCTGTCAGGATCTATAACTAACTGAAAAGGTTTCAGTGTAGAATTGTTCATGGTTCAGCCACGGCCTGTTATATTTAGGTCTTTAAAGAAACACTCCTGAAGGGGCTTAGCTGAGGTGTGCTGTTCACATATATTGTGCAAAAATGTTGTAGCCTACAAGAATAGCTTAATTAGAGCTCATGACTGAAACATTTAATGTCTTTTCAACCTTGAAAAGTTCTTTTGTTGATAGTTTGACATGTTTACAATGTTTTTTTATATATTTTGTTTCTCTGCATTTGATTATAATACAAATGAACACTTCCTGTAAATTCAATCTGGAAAACTCACTTGCAACCAATCTTATCATGAGACTCTGTTCCAGCCTATCAGGACAACTGCTCACCTCATAAGCCAGTCACCTTCCTTCCGAGACATCCTTGCTTCCTCGCTTCCTGCTACACTGCATCCCTTCTCCATCCCTTCATCCCAATGGACTCCCTATAGCTCCCCTGCTTCTCCAGCCTCCATCTTTCCACTAACATCAGACTCATCCACCTGCGACACAGCCAATCAGCTTTCCAGGAAAGCCAATCGTCATCCAAAGTTCATCTTAAAATGCCTCTAATACGCTACTGTCTGCTCCTGTGTGGCAGATGTGCTGCCCCTCCTCCACCTTCGTAGCTAAAGCTTCATCAGAGTGTCATTCCTCCCGGACTCTTACTGCGTTCCGTGTCTCATGTTCACCGGTCCGGCAGAAGACCGCCATGTTGAGCCTGGATCTTCCAGAGGTTTCTTCCCAACGGGGAGTTTTTCCTCTCCACTCTCGCTCCATGCTTGTTCATCATGGACAGGTTTTCTCAACCTGTGTTATCCAAACTGGACTTCCATCTTCCAGGTCCCTGAGTAAAGCTCTAGGATCAGCTCACGCAATCCACTGGATCTCCCCGTAAAGCTCAGCATACCGTCTCGTTAACCAGCAGTCTACGAACTGACCAACTTCATCTATCTCCACTCCACCACCAGTTTCAGGCCTGGGGGGAAAACAGCCCTATTCTTTGCTCCTGTTCATGCATATCTATCAAAATTAAATGGTATGTTTCTTGCCGAGGTCTAAGCGCCAAAGACAAAGTAATTGTATCTATACATTTCTTCTAATTGTCTTCTCTCTTCGTGTGAGTTTTTCAGATTGAAATATAGTTAAAAGCACATTTTTCAGCCATGTTGCAACAGCTCAACCAAAAGAAGCCTTGGCTATAATTTCAGCAGTTCGAATCATTGTATGCTTTGGAACATTTGTGAGGCATTATGGAAATTAGGGAACAATTTGGCACGGCACAAACAGGAAAAAAAAACTATTTCTGAGAGGAAAAAAAATCATTTTCATTTTAATGTAAAATGTGCAAGTTGAAGATATGAATCCATGCTTTAAAAAAAACTATTTCAGAGGTTTTAAAATGCTAAACTTTTGTATTTAAACTCAGCCTGTTTTCAGCAGAAACAACAGCCAACAGATGTTCCACCACAATCTGTGGCCTTGGGCTGGACAATAGTTATATATATATATATATATATATATATATATATATATATATATATATATATATATATATATATATATATAGTGATATAATCTTCTTCAATAAAATCTTCTTCAATAACTCTGATATAACTTTTGAAAGCATTTCAGGGATTTCAATATACATAAAAGTCTATGATTGTAGTGTTTTCAACACACTGGCAATGTTCCCCACAGACATGGAGCCTGTGTCTGCATCTGCAGACTGTGCTCCATGGTGGGCTAACCTCTTACAGCGTACATTTTTAGCAGAACAATTAGTGGCCACCATAAGGTGAGGAAACATCCCAGTTTTGGACTACCTGTACTCTGCAAAATCTGTCCCAGAAAATATCTCCAATTTTAGCATTTGATGATATCACATTGACTGTGTATTATAAAGCTCATAAGCAGCAGGTAGCCACGCAGGTTAAAGCAGAAGAGCTGAGCAATGCGGCTTTCAATAAACTCAGGGCGGATAGAATCTGTAACCTAGACTTATCTAGTTACGCAGAACTACTTTCAGCATTTAAGTATTCTGCTGGCACCTGAGCGCGAATGACTTATTAGTTTCTTCATTACAATAAAAATTTGTAATTACTGATTTTTCTTTATGCGAGTATCCCCAGGTGGAAATAGTTTTTTTCAAACAAGTAAAAAAAAACTTTTAATGTCTCTGTCCTTTTAGCTGCTTCCATATTCAGAGGTTTCCAGAGCAAGATTTTAAGTTTGCTTACAGACCTAGCGATTCTTTTTAAATCAGATGTCATTCCTGTCACAACAGGGATTTAAAGTCAGGTACCCCTCATTCAAGTTTGACTTTCCACTTTTTATTAGCAGTCTTACCTTCGGATAGCGAAATCGAAAATCCAGCCTCCCGAACTCGGTGAGAAAGCAAAAACGAGTGAGGAAAACCCAGTCCTGCAGAGACAAAGAGAACAACAGTTAAATAACCTGACAAAGCAATGATTAAAATGAGAGGTACATATGAAAAGTTGAAAAACAAATTCAGCATATTCTGCTCAGTTAAAAGTAAAACCCAAATAAATTTCAAATCAAGCCAAATCTTTTTTTGTTTAACGAACATCTGGATAAAACATCTGCACCAACAAATGTTGCATAAAATTGAATGAAGTTTCAAGAAATGAACAGAATTACATTATCAATCAAGTTTTAAGAGTCAGTAAGAGTTAAACACTTAAAATATCTAGGAAAGAATTTGACTTTATTAAGCACTAAATTAAGATATCTTAAACTCCCCCTAACAGGTCAGAATAGCATATCATGGTTTATTAATGGGCATGGGATACTTTGTAAAATGCTTTTTACTAGTAAAAATCTGTGATAACTGAGATAACTTTTAATGTTATGGCAAAGCAAGCAGTTTATCCTTTTTATATTAATATTTGAGGTTTGTTCAAATTCAAATTTAGAAGATGAAAAATGGGATTCAATCACAACATGGCTGAAGTTATTACCTTAATTTATAAATCACAATTAAAACAGAATTGTAAGAGAAAAAAACAATGAAATGCTTCCAAGGGTCCTATCGTTTACTATGTCCGTTCCAGTGCCTATCATCATTGGAATATTTTCAGTATTATATCTTCAGCACAGGGGCCACAACAGGATCGGGACAAGTTGTACAGGGAAGTGGCCCCTGTTTTCTCCTGTCTAGAACCCCCAATGGTTTTTACACCAGTATAATTGCAACTAAATTCATATTTCAGTGTAATAAAAGAAACTAAATGGGTAATAGCTTAGCTCTATAGCCTGTTTATGGTTTTAGCAAAGATATTTTCAAGTCTCATCTTATTGCAATAGTTGGTGTTTTGGATATATCCCTATTCTTGAAGTGAGGTTTAATATGTTTCTGGGGATAAAAACAAATTTGTTCAGCCTCAGCATCTGATGTTTGTATTTATTTGATTACTATTTAGATTAATCAAAGTCATAACCAAAGACAATTCATAAGTAATCTTATGATTAAAGTGTAATCAGGGTACAAAAAAACTAGATGTGAATCATATATGTGCCACAATCCTAATTAGACTTGATGTTAAGTTAGAAAAGAAGATTTCAAAGAACAAGGGGGTAAATAGAGCAAATAAGAAGAACTCAAGACAGACAATGCAAGTCGGTGTAAATATGTTGGTGCAATAAAGAAAAACGATTTTAAAAAATGAGTAAATACAGCAGGGAAGTTTTCAGGAATATTAAAAAGGAGCTAAAAATAAAAGTAAAATGAAGTTAGGTTGGGTTGGTAGGGCAAAGAGGTAAAACTCTGAAAAAGAGTAAACAAAGAAGACATTAAGGGACTGCTGTGCATGTTAATGAAAGAAACTACCTGTCCTTAATATCATTCAGCCATCAACTTGGCAGCATGAGACCAGATAATAGTGCTGAGGGTGCGCGTCACTTAGATTACATAAGGCACTGCGGCAGTGTTGGTATGTCAGACTAGTCACTAGCGGTATCCATTTAAATACATATATACTGTATACATATATACACACACACTATATATATATAGATATATATATCTATCTATCTATCTATCTATCTATCTATCTATCTATCTATCTATATGGTTATATGGTTATATGGTTTGGTTTGTCAATAAAAAGCCATGAAAAAAAGAGAACATATCATCAAGGCATCAACTCAAGTGTCTGAATGTGATTTTTAAACTGTAGCTCTTCCCAAAAAGTTGAAGTTGTGACGTTAAAAAAAAATGTCACCATGGTTATTTTTTTCTTCAAAACCTAAGTCTCTTTCAGATGAAAAAGTTAAAAGTTAAGTTAATCCTCTACAGCCTCTGATCCAAAAACAAGCTACTAATAGCTGACTGATCTAAAGGACTTTTCGACTTGAATTGGTGGTTTAGTTGTAATAAAACACCAGACAGGTAGAATTAAAAACATGGTTCCAACATGTGGTATATTAGGCACATTATTTGTTAGAATAACACATATTAGACAAATCGTCTATTGAAATGTGCAAAAACAGACAGGGCCAAAGCTAAGGTTAAATAGCGATGCTTGAAATCAGTATAAAACTGATGAGGCATTCAAGGATACCAACTGAATACAGAATAAAACCTTGTTTTCTCTGTTAATCAAAAGTTGTTCTTTAGTATTTGTGGATGGACTTTGTTTTTAACTACAATTTGTTCCCCCTTTTAGTGCAGAAGAACTAAGCACTCTTCAAACTGATTAAACATCAGATTCCTTTTAGCTTGTCCCAATGCCCCTTTTCATCATGCATAAACACCATATGTGCTGAGGGATTTTCCAGATGGAAGAGAAAGTTTACTGGAGGGTTTCCTAGATTCCTACATATTCTAGGTGAGAAAGTCTGCAGTATGCGAGCTGCATTCCAAGGGTGTGAGCGAAATTGATTAAACAACATTGATTAAAACACTGCTGTGACACTCATATAAAGCACTTCAACTGAAACAATACACTGCTATGCATTATATATGCATTTTCACCCAACAAAAAAATCATTCTACAAGTCTATTGGTTTTTTTATTTTTAGCAAAAAAAGTACCAATGATTTAAATATTTAAAAATCCATTAAAGTGTGAAAAAATATATATTCAAAGTGGACCAAGATTTAAATGATTTTCAGCAAAGTGCAACACTGATGAGCATTAATGTAAAGCAGACTGCTAAGTGGACTGATCTGCATGCACTAAAACAGACAATAGAGGCTCAGAAAATCACTGGAGAATCGTCCATCTTGAAGATTGGGAGGGAGATGGGTTTTCAGGGAGATTGACAGGTGCTGGAGCGATAAAGACAGCCTCTTCTTTAGCACGCATTTTCTATAGAACCAATCTCCCCTGCAACGGGACTTTTAACTCCGGAGTCACCTCGGGTGAAAGATGGCGGGATTTGGTGTACTTACCCACCATCTCAGAACAGGACCCTACAGTGGAATTTTCAAGACTGGATAAGTGCAGTGGCGTGAAGAGACTTTTTGAAGGGCAGGGATAGGGCACATATGTAATTTGTCCTTAACCTCTTTAGGATACGTTTTTGCTTACACACACCTTTACTACTCCTCCAGACGTCCCTGTCCACATACGTTTTCTTCATCCTTCACCATTAAAATACACAGCCAAGCTATTTTTTGCCAGGTCAAGATCCGTAATTGCAATCGCACCAAACAGGAGAAAGAACGCTGAGAAGATCCGGTTGTCAAATTAAAATAGGGTTACGGCAGATTGGCAACTACAAATTAGAGCATAATTCTTATATATTCCCAAAAAAACTAAGACCGTTTAATTAAATTACAGTCTTGGTTTTCCATTTGTTGTCCTCTGCTACCCTCTTGTGTCCTCTTTCCCTAGCTCTGTTTTCTGCTCTGCCCTCAACTGTTTTCAATCCCCTTTAAAAGCCTCCCTCTTCAGTTCCTGTTTGCTGGATCCTCGTCAAACACCGTCTGCTTGCTCCAAATCCTTCTCCCTGTTTTCCTTGGATTTTTGGATAACCAGCCTTTGTTTTCTGTCAATTTTTTTTTATTAAATCCCCAACAGATTCACCTCTGCCTCTCTGCCTCAACTTTTGGGTCATCTCACTCATTAACCAAATCCTGACAACTTTGGCATACCAGGAAGCAGATTTCTCACATCGATCAAAATAGCCTATTCATTATACGGAGTGGCTTAAATATTTCACCAAATCCAGCCACAACAATTTCCAAGAGTGCCTCTCACAACTTGCAGGCATGGATGAAGAGATGCTTGAAAAAAGAGAACAAAGCAATTTTCCATGATCCTAATTATCCCTATTGCAAGACACACAACAAAAAGAAAATATTTGGGCAGAAACATGTGATTGATGCTGATGGTGAGTTTTAATTAAGTCATGTAAAATTAAGCGTTTGTTACCGCAAGTTGTGCTCCTACAAATTGAATATTATCATGCATGCTCTCCTTGAGCTCCAAAAGTAGTTGGAGTTGGAGTAGTTTACAACAACGAGCGCAATGAGCAATAGAACAGTGCCTGAAATCAGAGTTATTGCGTGAACAATGTATTCACACACCATTTTAATTCTATTTGTTGTTTAATGGAAATACAAGATTTGTGAAAATTAGCATTTTCGCAATTTGCAGAATTTAGACATAGTTTTGCGTATATATATATATGTAATGGATACAACTACTGAGAAAAGGAAATGTGTGGATCTAGATCGGTCTCAATTATCACAAATACATATATTTGATTTTTACATGCACAGGACAAGATCCACACACGCACAGCATGATTCACGCAAGCACAGTTACAAAGTACCAGTAGTCTTTAAACTTCACTGCTTTTGTGTGTGGATTTTTGAGACTCCCCTGGTGTGCCTCAATACACAAATGCATGTTTTTAAGCAGGAAATGGTTTGCCACAAATCACAAAGCTCCCTTGTATAAGCCAATCACAAGAAAGTACTCCAGGTGGGATGACCCGCAGATTCCACCTCCTCCGTAACCACTGCGCTCCGCCCCGCTCACATAAGTTGTGCAGTGCACTTGCACACTCATGTAAATCAATGAGAACTGTTCCACATTCACCGCTACTCCTGCCAGCATCACCATCCACGTCCGTCTTCTCCACCCTTTACCGTCAAAATACGGAGCCAAGCTATTTTTGCTCCGCTCCAGTCCGGCTAGGTCAAGATCTGCAATTGCAATCGCACCAAACAGGAAAAAGAACGTTGGTAAGATAATGTTTGTCAAATTGAAATATGGTAACAAAAGATTGGCAACAACAAATTAGAGCATAATTCTTATATATTCCCCAAAACTAAAACAGTTTAATTAAGTTATTGGATCCAAACTATTGGTACTTCAACATACCAGGAAGCAGATTTCTCATCTCCATCAAAATATTTATTTTATACTCGGAGGCTTAAAAGTTTAATCA